CCGTTACCATTCGATCGTCCTCCTTCAATAGCATATGTATCTTTGAAATCTTCAAAAACCACATCACCATCTTCTTCCTCATCCTCATCTCTAACCTTTCCATAAACACTATAATCCTCACCATTCTCGTCCGCTTCAGCAACATTAGAGCAAACAGAGATTTCAGCATCCTCCTCCTTATCATCCTCCTCCCCATCATTATCACCTTCATCTTCAAAACATTCATCAGCTTCTTCCCTTTCCTCTGAAACCGTCCCCACCTTGCTACGGCTTGATACACAAAGACATACTCTATGAGTTTTGAGTATCTCGAGCAAGTTATGAACTTGTCTATCACTTGTAACATGAATGGGAGGGGTGTCTGGAGCCATCATCATTTATGCTGGTAATGAGTATCTAATCTCCACAGTGTCTGTGCTCATGTCCAGGTTATCATCTTCTTGTGCCATTGCAACAAGTTCAGCATGTGTTGAATCTTCATTCAATAAAAACAATCTTGCTCCTTTGAGATCATCAACCACAAAATCCCAACGTCAATCTTTCAACAACCATTCTCCATACACTGCATGTAACTGACGAATCATCTGCAAAAATTCAAAATAAAACACATTAGTAAACATAGAGAATTTCATGAAAGTTTACTAAACATCGTCTGGACGAGATACCAGTAAGTCGTCCGGACGACTTACCCATAAGTCGTTCGGACGACTTACCCGTAGCTCGTCCATTGAGGTCATTTTTGCAATTGAAATTTAAATGGGACGACTTACTTCTAAGTCGCCCAGCTTTGTTTGTTAAAAAAAAAATCCAGACGACTTAATTATAAGTCGTCTGGTGTTTTTTTTAAACAAACAAAGCTGGACGACTTAGAAGTAAGTCGTCCATTTGACCAGAAGACCTATCCGTAACTCTTCTACATCCAGATGACTTACAGGTAAGTCTTCTACGCGAACAGATCTGGAAAAAAAAATTAATTTCATACCTTAAACTAGGTGAGATGACTTCCTTTGCACACAGAGTCTTCTCCAACCACCCAGAACATCGAACAAAAGTAACCCACCAACAATTGTATGCTTAAATGGCTCTATCAACCATAAAAATTTTGCTATCAAAAGCTTGAGTTTTTGGTATGAATATGGAGACAAAGTGAAGGAGATGTTGTTTTCAGTTCATAACAATTGAGAAAGAGAGTATGAGTATTGATTTTAAGTGCATTAAAAGCTTTAAACCTTGGTTGTACAAGGTTGTTGGGTTGTACAAGGTTGTTGGGAGTATTCATGGCAATGGCAATGTTGTAAATACTTGAAGATGATGAGGTTGAGAGAGTAAAAATGCCATTTTCGAAAAAAGTAAAAAAAAAATTTAATGGCATTTTCGTAAATAAAATGAAGATGTGTGGTGAATAGGACAAAAACAAGATGAGTTAAAAGAATAAGTTAGTTTTGTGTTTGACTATGAGTTTTGAGTCAATTTTGCAAAAACCCCTTGTTTAGATTCGAATACCTTATTCATATCCAGAAAAAAAAAGAATTTGATCATTTGTAATCATATTCATTTTTTTTTTACTTTTGCATAGCTAACAATTTCTATTTTTTAATTTATAATAAATTGAATACAGTCCAACCAATGAAATATAAGTAAAATGTTTTTTGCAAAGCCTATGTCGGATTTCTAAAAGCCTCCAAGAATTGTCTTGGAGATACCAACAAAAAAACATTTTGTTTCTCTCTTTTAGAGGTTATGTTATTTTTGTTTCCACGTGTTAAAATAAAACAATTTACCTGAAACAATTATAATATTATTTTTATGTAAGAGAATTTTTTTACAAATTTAGATTTATGTTGTTGAACTATTTAACTCTCATACCTCTTCTAAAAATAGATAATGAAATTTTTGATTATCAAATTATTTGAAGGTAAAATTATAACTTTAATATTTCTAATTAGTATTCATAAATTAGAATAGTGTAAAATATAATATATATTTATTCGTATTATATTATTGTCCGTACAATTTCGGTTAAACATTTAGTTCTAAGATTAGTTTTCTTTTAAAAAAAATTATTAAAAAAATAAAAAATAAAAAATAACAATCAACCAATCAAACTATTATAATTAATTAGAGAGTTTTCCTATAAATGATATGTCAGCAGAAATCACTAATATATAAAAGGATTTAATAAAAAAAAATAATATATATATTTAAATCGACTAACCTATTTGCCTAAGGATTCTGAGAATCATCTTAGTGACGAAACGTGCATATACTTAAATATTGTAATGTTCCATGATTAATATATAAGAGGTTAATAAAACCAAAACGCATGTATAATCTACAAAACTATCTATTGGCAAGTAGAGTTTCAATTATACACATAATAAAGACACTATAACAATAAGGGTTTTATAGTTTGAGAGGCAGGGAATTAAATCGGCATGTGACGGAGACTTATAATTTTGTGAATTTGGCAGACGAGTCAGTAGGCAGGAGCAGCGAGATCCTCCTCCTCCTTGTTCTCTTGGCAGCGTTTTAGCAGCTGAAGTTGGCGTCGAAGATGCAGCACCTGTAGTAACAATGTTACTTCATCCGGTTCACATATTCATTCTTAACCAATCACCATGTTACTTTATAAGATCTAAACTCTGAGGCTCAACCTAGGTTTAGTTATTGTCTCTTCTCCAAAAAAAACTTCTGACAAACGAGTAAAAGACCTTAACCGTTTTCAAGTAGAGATAGAACAGTGAATCGAATTAGAACTGGTACAAAAATTTACCTCTTCTTGAAGCATAGTTGGGAGGAAAGCCATAGAAATGAGCTGCTTCATCTCATTCATAATAGCTTGGTCTTTGATCCCTGACCATGTCTGTGGAGGTAAAGCCAGCAGAAGTACAGTAAGCAAATCGTTTCCTGCTGGATAAGTTGCCTCCGGACCATATTTACAGTCAGTTTGGGTCGATGGCACCAATAGATCAACATTTTGTTCACTCCCGTTACGCACCACAACTCCAGTCACCACCGCCTCGCCATCACCTTCATGTAGTAAAAACGTTTAGCAGTTGAAACAGTCAACTTACTATAATTACCAGCATATGACATACCGTTGACACATTTCACCTCCCGACAACAGAACTCTATAGATGAGCATCCGGATAAGATTTCAGCTCCTTGACAACAAGCCTTTGCAGCAGAAAATGTCATACTGTCTTCGTAACCAACTGAGGATAAGAACTTACTGATGTGTTTGAACAGTTCAGTTTCATGCACTTCTTTCAGCACCACTTGCTGCAGAAGATTAACAAGAGATCAGACATGTAAAAGTCAAGATTGTCCAAGGAATAGCGAGAATGTTGCTGGAAAATGAACCAGTGTCACTGGAGAGTACCTTTAAGTTGAGCCTCGATTTCTCCTCTGCGCTGAGATTTTCTTTTGCGTCCTCTGTTATTCTGATCTCAGCCACCCATCTAATGAATGTGTTGAAATTTGATGGAAGTGACTTGAACACAACTGATATGATCTTTTCCACACTATCTAAATGCTGGGAGCTTACAAGGCGAGGAACATCTTCCTTCAAATACTTGGCTATGTTGATCCAGCTTTCATCCTTGCAGCACTGTTGTATAAATAAGTTTTGTATTACCAAAAACTACCAATGAACATGTAACAAGGATCTGAAGTTCATTTAATAATGTTGTGAGTTTGGATATTTCATTAACATAGAATGCGAATATAAGAAAAATATTAGCGAGCATCTAGAGAACCTATATTGAATGAAATGTAACAAGGATCTGAAGTTCACTCAATACAAGTGTAAGAGATGTTCTCCTAAGGTTTCAAGCAAGGCGAGTCAAATTCACATTCACATCAAACCAGTAATGGTTGTGAGTGAAAAGATCGCATTAACACAAAATGCAAATGAGGAACAAAATATTAGCATACATACCAGAGTATAGAGCAATCCGGGTTCTCTGTGGGGTCTAGATATGAGCATGAAACTGAGAGAAACACAGAACAACATCATACCAGTTACATCATGATAAATTAGAATATGGAAAAAAAAAAAAAAGATGAGAAGTGGGTATGGTATACCCTCTACGTTTCCCTGTTGACTGATCAATGCTGTCCATGGCTTCCCAAAGAAGTTTAAGAGGAACCCAATGAGGAGGATACTTGAAACGGGCAACATCAAGAATCAAAGCCATATCTCTCTCAGCGTTATAGCCACCGATAGGTGAAAAGTGACCAGACCCAGTCTGCAATAAGAGTTGTTACAATCTTGATCAACACGGCAGGATCGCTAAACAAACTAACGTTTCACAGCTGTGCTGCAGAAGTTACCTGCTTAAAGACACCTCTGTCATATGATGAGATCATATGGCAGTTCTCAGAAGAAGTGCATTTGATTACGAAGTTGCGGAAATCGTCAATGGTGGTCTGATTTGTACGGAAAGCTTCCACTTTGGCTCCAGTACAATGAGCCAAACAGACAACTTTTCCGAAAGAAATGCCCTTTGCCTTGACTACTTCCAGTGGCTCGCAGCAGTCCAGCATTGATTCATCAAACCACCTCCAAGGCCCTATTGGAAGAAAGAAACCTCAAAAACCCCATCTAGACTAGACGTATTTTCTTCTCTCTCTCTTATGATACTAAAAATAGTTATACCTTTCCATTTTCGTCCAGGATCAATAGAAAGAGCGTTCAAGACAACTGAAAGGCTAGCCAAGCCACAATACGCAGGTTCCGACTGTGTCTGGAAATAAGAAATCAACCTGAAAAATCCTTCCATTGTGCCTTTCTGCAGCGCTTCACTGAATATTTTCTGCACAGTTTAACAAGTCAGATGAAACAGAACATAGTTTTTAGACAGTAACAACTAAAGCAACACAGATTGCATTAACAAAGTCTATCCCTCTATAATAAGCAGACTACTTATGAACAAACAGTAAGATCTCACTGCTTATAAATCAACAACACCTAACTTTTCATCAAAATCCATGAAAGAAAACTTGATCCGTACCTTGCCTTCGGCAGAAGAAAAGTCAAAGGCCGGAGGAGAAGGAAGAGATCGCCGGTAGAGACCCGCCGTAGCCATAACCACAGGTTTCTTTCTTACAAAGGATTCGAATAAGTAAACTTTGAACTTTGGGTGTGAGGAGATTTGAATATTTGATGGCGATATGTCATATGTATAGTAGAGACTCTCACAGGTCAACTTTCTGGCTCTCTCTCTTCCTTGCTCAAGTCAAACGTGTAAACCACGACGAAACGCCGTTAAATACATCCGGTCCGTCTCGGTTTGATTGGTATATATCACATGTTCGACGATTTGCTTAACTACAAATTATGGTTCTGTTAGCTTTAGCTTTTGGCTGACCAAAACGGAAATGATGGCGTATAGCCGCCGTTAGTCATTGGTCAAAGTTGGCGCGATAGTCGAGAGACTTCTTAAACCGGTTGGGTCAGAGAGTCCGGTTTGTTTGTAGCGCACAAAGTCATAAATTCATAACTATGGGAATACCAAGAATCAATTGGTTCCTAAATCATTTCGAAATAATAAACCTTTTGAAGTCTTCACGAAAATTAGCAAAATTGTAAGAGTGTTACTCGATCTATTACAGTGACTAGAGGTGATCATTTTGGTTTAGTTACGGGTTTGGCTTATTTGGTCTAAGAAAACGTTAACCAAAATCAATCTAAATTAATTTGGTTTGTCTTCGGTATGGTTTAGTTTTAGCTCGATTTGGTTTGTGTTTAGTTCAATTATAATTCGGTTTAGTTCGGTTTAATTTGTTTTTACTTATGTTTATTCAGTGGAGCTGATTTTTTTTTATTTTTATTTTAGTTCAGTTACAAAAAAAAATTTATGAAAAAACAAATAATCATTTGACACTAAAATCATTATTTTTTTCATATCTAATCTACTATGAATAAAAGAGACAAAACAAGCCAAATGAGCTTGTCCACAGAAATATTCCTCCAATCAAATGTCTCTAAATTGCCATGTCATTCGCTTTGTTTCTGAGTTAACGCAGCAAAAAAGTGGGTTCTTTGCGAGTGTCTTGTCCTCTTCCAGAAGAGGCGCCTCTTCACTTGGTTCTTCGTCTCTCTCTCTCTCCCTTTGCTATTGGAATCCGTTCTTCTCCGACCAAATACAACCAAAATCCAGCCAAAATCACCGTCGAGAAAGAAAATATGTTATTCTTCTTCGCGTGTGTGGGAAGGTCCATTTCCTCTTCTTCCTTTTTATTGGATTACTGTTATTTTTTTAAAGTCTCCATGAAGATTCATTCATCTCTTGTGATCATCAGCTCATAGTATTGTTCTCTGCCATCCAGAAATCTCCGAGTATATACCGATTCGTTGCTTGCTTTTGATCTCTTTCTCATTTTGAATTTAGGTTTTACAGTTCTGAAAACAGTAACCTATATTTTATTGCAGATTGATCTCATAATTCACTGATGGGTTTCAAAATTATCTTTCGATCTCTACCAAGTTATTCCCACAGGTAAAAAAGCTCTCATCTTTTAACCTCATTTAAACTTTGGCTCGTGATCATGATTGTATTTTTTTTCTCAAAACAAAGGGTTTGAACAAGTTAAAGTAAGAAACTTTGAATGATTGATCTATCTGTATCTCTATGTTTTGAACCAACTTAAATGAGTTTTAATCTTCTTAAAACCACATTGAACAATGCTATTTGCAGATTGATGCAAGGATTCTAAAAGCTGTTGCTATTGAACACCCTAAAGATGCTGAATTGCTGATATTGCTGTAGTTGTTGTCCTGTGACATTTGCAGCGTCTTTCGTCTTTCGTTGCCTGGTCCACAAGCTGTTCGAACTTCGTGGTTAAGTTGCTGCGGTTTGTTTGATGCTGTGGCAGGATCAGACAGATGAACACAGGTTAGTCTCGGTTTATGATTCTTGATAAGATGTACTTTACTTGGTTGACTTTCCTAATTACTATGATCTTCCATGCCCCACAATGTGCCCTGTATTTGTGATGATGTGCTTGAACTCCTTAATATCATTTATCTACTCTGTGTAGCTCATTAGATACATGTAGAAACGTTATCCATTTCAAGCCTCAAAGTTTGATTTTATCCCATGAACACAAAGTGACACACACAAAACAAGATTTGATCCTTTTGTACACAGAATGCATATATTTAACTTAAGCTTTGCTTCAACTTCCTATGAAAATAAAATCAACATTGTTTTTTAAGAATCTTTATCTAAGAGACTTGCATTGGAGCACCAAATTGTTGGTGTCTCTTAACTAAGTTCTTTACTAACATTTAATATTTAAAAAGTCATTAAGAGACACTAATGTGGTTCTAGGGTTAATGATGCTCCCCTGTCTCAACCGACAAATCTCCCCTAGGTTCCCGACAAGGTTACGTCTCTGATCGATTCTCACGTTTGCGTCTAATACTATTCTTTGGATATGGGTCTTCAGTGTTTTGTATATCTAATAGAGTTTTCTTCTTTCTCTTTTGTGAAATTTTCTTATGCAGATGGCCCTTCCTATAGGCCGAGCTCGGTGAAAGGAAAGGCTCGGATACTCAGGTTCTACCAGTCTCTGACTTAACCTTCTCAGCAGAGCCGTAATGTCATTGGTATGTTTCTATTTTGGTTGTAAATCATGGGATTTGATTAATGTCAATGTTATGCTCGATGTGATTTTTTTTTCACTGATTGACTTGATATCTAAAGATGAGTTCTTGCGAATGGATTCATAAACCAGCAATACATCTCTCCTTACTGGTGCTGAGAAATCTATAAATTTAAGTTAAGCACTATTGTCTTTTTGTCACTTTTTGTTCTCCCGGTTATTCTTTTTCCACTTTTGACTTTTTTTTATTCTTGGATTAACTTCTTGCTAATGTTTGTTATTTGCGTGCAGCTGTGCCTTCTTCCTACACCTTAAGTGACCATGTGTGCAAAGTATGCCAGATTTGTTAGCAAGATCTTACAAGATCGCTGACTTACTTGCATGCTTCTTGCTTTCTGTCAAGTTTTGTTCAATGTTAGTCTTTTCTGTACAATACCATCTTCAATCAAGCTCTAACATTTTTATTCCTTCTTTCTTTAGTTTTGTTTTATAGGTGAGGGCTCCACTGGTGAAATCTGATGGTGATTCAAAGGATGCTACCTCAAAGAGGCTGGTAAGAAGTACGATCCAAATTTATGCAATAAATTGATTTTTAACCTCTAGCCATTAATATTCATCGTCTTTACTGAATTTCACATTTATGAGCTTACCAGCGGCGTTTATTATAATAGCGGTTTTGGTGTTCTCCATGTGATGTCGAAGCGTGTGTTCGCTTTTGGTGTATACAGTCTGACCATCCTCTTGGAGAGTTTATGCAATAATCTGGAGTACGGCAGGACTGTTACTTTGTAAGGAATTCTTCATTGTTATATCACATCATTCTTTCTTTTTAAAAAAATTGAACGACTACCTCTACTAATAGTAGATCTCACTACAATGCTTTTATTTCTTTTCTCTATCTTTACCCAGACGATTACGTTCAGAATCTGTCTCAGCTGAAAGATTGTGCAAGAAGGTTTAAGTCGAAGGTACTTTCCAAGCCAAATACATTTAGTTCTTAACAAAGCGATATTAGGAAAATACATATTAAGAACCAACACTTTGAACATGGATCTTAGAACTTCAAAGGACGCCAACAGTATCATCCATCAGTGCTTCCAGGTATGTGTCTGTCCTTCCACATGTCAACATAATGTAGTTTGATATAATTTCTTGCAAATGATGCAATTTTCATGACATCTGCTAATCATGACAGGGGGAGTTGGAGGTTCTGAGAGAGTGTTTCAAGGCAATGAAAACAAATAAATCTCCAAAAATGACTTTTCTGATGCTTTGGCTAGATTTGCCACCACCCCTCTATTCAAAGATGTCATGGAGAAAAACATTATTCTGCCGGTGTACATACATCTCTTGCTTTAGACTTTTAAGTTTAGTTATTTAAATTTTCTGCTGCTGTTCCTTTTACAATAAGCATTCCAGAAATGTTCATGATAAATAACATGTGTGGTGTTATTAGAAAACTTACAAGATTATTACATTTTTGTTGAGACACGCCAATACTGAGTGATGTTTAGTATAGGATAGACCGTCTTTTTGGAATCCACTTTATGAGTTAGGAGAGTTCTCTTGAGTCCTTTTGGGTTTTTAGTTAGTAAAGTGAGGTAAGAAAAAGCTAAATTTCTTTGATGTTTGGATCAGGTTGCTCTATTTGATATACTTAAGAAGTTTGATGGAGAAACTGTGACATAAGTGGCTCGCCCTGAGCTAGCCATAAGGATAGAGTAACCAAATCTCCTCCTTACTTGATGTTCTATATGGTTCGGTTCAAGAAAAATAACTTCTTCTAGGAGAAGAATCCTACCTTGAGTGACTATTTTTTTTTTTTTTTGGTGACTTTAATGATTTTTAAAGTTCTCTGTTCACAGGTTAATGTGACCCAATTTTTGTCGATGTCACAGCCAACTTTCCGGTGAAGGACATGGAGCTAAGAGATTACATACCATCACTGCCTACTGCTGCAGAAGGCGTGAAGGTTTCTTCCAAGTATAATCGCTAACACTGTTCATGATGGTAAGCCTGAGGATGGGTACTTCAGAGTCTTTGTGCAGCGCAAGTCACAAGAACTTGTTGGGAATGTCCTAAAATCATTTGTACTTACTCTAGTAGAAGTCGTAACGTCGAGGTTCGACAATCGTATAATATTGGGTGGTTATAATGTTTTGGTAGAAATCGCTTATAATCTATGAATTGAGAATTCATTGCTAATATTATATGATCCTACAGGGTCACACACCTAAGTAAATTGGATCAAGTAATAGTTTAGTTTAATTAGATTAAACTAAAGTTGGGGTTTTGGTGTTTTATATTTATATGATAAATGAAAATTATATGTGCTCACCTTAATGGATTTAGAATCCAGCACGTGATTTTCTAAAAGCCCATTACCCATAATGATGATTATTAGGGTTGCATGTTTCGTGTGTATGCATATATAATTATTAAGCCACTGAACTAAAACCCTAAATAATAATAAGAGAAAGACAAAGGAGTTTGTCAAGGTTCTGAGATTTGATCTCGACGTCACTAG